GAGAAACTACAAAAGTAGGGGTGGGGAGAAGTGTAGAAGCCTGATTGTGGGCAATATAAGTCAAAAGCTTATCTGTCAGAGACTGTAGTCATGAACCATAAAAAAGCCTCTGGAACACCAGGTGGATACTTCAAGAAGGATTTACAGAAAAAGAGGCATACTGGATGAGAAAACATGGAAAGGTAGTAGCCACATTGATAATATTACAGATCAATAAAAATGTTGAAGTATTAATTATGATAAAGAATTATTTTGAGAGCATTGCCAGATTCTATTTTCTATTATTTTATTTAATATCTATGAATCAATGTTCATGAATGATATTGGCTTGTAATTTGTTTTGCCCCCTCTCTGCAACATTTGGAGAGCAAAATCATATTTGCTTTATGGTTGGGTAGAATGTTGCCATTCTCTGTGTTTTAAAATAGTTTGTATGACATAAATATTATATATTCTTGGACAGTTGGAAAGAATTCACCTATAAATTAATATGGTCCCAATACCTTTTTACGTGGCAGTTCATTCATTTTCTGCCCAATTCCTTCTTCTGAGGTTGATCTATTGAGGCTATTTCTTGTCTTGTCAATTTGAGTTTTAAATACTTTGTATCATCCTTTTCTTTTAAATTTTTTATGAAGCTATACAGAGTAATTTGTAAAGTTTTCTTAATTTCCTTTCATGAATCGTGATTTTCCTTTTCTCATTTCTAACACTAATAATTTGTTTTTGCTACTTCATGTAATGGATTAATTTCCTGTTAACTATAGAAATGTTATGATTGTTGGCTTGAAACTACTCTTGGTTTTATTCATAAACATAATTATTCTTTGACTTGCTATTTTAACAATTTCTGTTCTTATTTTAACCATCATTTCCACTTTTTCTTTAAGTGTATTACTCTATTTTTCTAATTTCCTTGAATAAAAACACAATTTATTTAATTGGTCTTTTTCTTTCTTATTACTATAGTCCCTCAAGGCTATATATAATTTGCCCATGGCTACATGGTTATATTTGAAGTAGTTACTATTTCTATAGTTCTTGTTTAGTCATTTTTCAGTTGTGTCTGACTCTTTGTGACCTGATTTGGGGTTTTCTTGGCAAAGATACTGGAGTGGTAGTCAGACACCTACTAGCTGTGTGACCCTGGGCAAGTCACTTAACCTCTGTTTGCCTCAGTTTCCTCACATGTCAAATGGGCATAAATAATAGCATCTACCTTCCAGCGTTGTTGTGGGGATCAAATGAAATAATAATTGCAAAGCACTTAGCACAGTGCCTGGCATACAGCAAGCACTATATAAATGTTAGCTATTAGCTATTATTACCTATTTATGCTACTATATCACACTTTATATGGAGTTTGCAAATGACTAAAACACCCAGATTTTTTTTTCAAATTGCTGTCTAACTACAGTTCTTTCAAATTGTAAATGTGAAGTTGATTTTTTGATCTCAAGTATAAGACCTGGCATTTAACCCGATTACATGTATCTTATTACATTTGATAAAAAATATTCTAGCCTATCATTTTTTTGTCTGCCATCCAATGTGTTAGTTATCTTGTCAAACTTTGTGATATCTGCAAATCTGATAAGCATACCTTTCTCCAAGTCATGAATAAAAATGTTAATAGAGCCAATCACAAATCCCTGGGGTGTTTCATTGGAGACTGCTCTTTGGCTCTGGCCATTCCACTAGTCTTGAATTCGCCTACTTGTACCTATATTGTTTAATCCACATACTAACAGGGTCAAGCAAATCACAACCTCCCTGGGCCTCATTTTCCTTGTGTGTAAAATAGATGAACTGGACTAGACGGTCTTTGAGGTTCTTTCCTGCTCTGTGATTCTCTGAGAGGTAAGGAGGTCAGTATTGTCAAGGGCTAAACTCTGAAATCCAAGTCAAGATCCTTGTATCGTAAGCATGGGAAAGCAATCTCATGTTTCAGTCCTATTACAACTACCGACACCTACTAGCTGTGTGACCCTAGGCAAGTCACTTAACCTACTTCTGAGAATCAGCTTTCTCATCGGTGAAATGGAGATAATCCTTGCACTATCTATCTTACGAAGGAAAGTGTTTTATAAACCTTAAATTATAAGATATCAGTCATTATTTTACTATTATAACACAGGTGACCAAATTACTAATATTCAACAAACATTTGAGTACCTTTGATGTGTAAGATGTTAGGTGCTGAAGGAGGGTCAAAATCACATGGTTCTCACACTCAAAAATCTACCATTCTTCATTTATTTCCTTCTTTCAAATTCCTGAGTTTTAGGCACTGAAAAAGATTTAGTTTCTTAATTCAGACAGGAAGTTTAATAATAAAATTCAAAGTTAAATTACTTTTCAAGTGGATTTTACTTTTTTTTTTCTGAATCTACATTTGGAGGCCTCATCTCTCTCCTGAGGTCCTGCATCACCAACTGCTTGCTGAATATCCTGCCTCTGACACTCTGTATGACCTTCAGCAAGTAATTAACCTGCCTGGACCCAAGTGTCCTCATCTGCAAAATAAGCAAATTGGACTAGATGGTCTGAGCTTCCTTCCAGCTCTACGTCTGATCTCCCCCTGGATGTCATATAGGGCTCTCAAAATTACTATGTCCAGAACAGAATTCATTACCTCTCATCATCCTCCAAGCTGATCCCATTCTTCATACTCACCTATTTCTTCTAGTCACCTAGGTTTGAAACCCTCTTGGTGATCTCTGACACTTCACCCTCCTTCATCCCCTCCATGCCATATCCAAACAGCTGCCAAGTCTTTTATAATCAATAGTCCCAACAACATCTCTGGCAAAGTCTTTAGCTTCTCCTTTCCTCTTCTACAGCCACCACTCTCCTTCAGGTCCTCTTCCCCCTTCTCTTTACTCATATCTTCCCTCTTCATTTTCTATGCAGCTGCCAAAGGAGTCTTTCTAAAGCATAGGACTATGTTACTCTCTTACTCAAGATTCTTTGGTAGCTTCTTACTGTTTTTTTTTTTGTTTTGTTTTGTTTAATTTTTTAGTTGGGCAATGGGGGTTAAGTGACTTGTCCAGGGTCACACAGCTAATTAAGTGTTATGTGTCTGAGGCCGGATTTGAACTCAGGTCCTCCTGAATCCAGGGCCGGTGCTCTATCCACTGTGCCACCTAGCTGCCACCTAGCTGCCCCTAGCTTCTTGCTGTTTCAAGAATAATTAGGAGCAGCTAGGTGTTTCAAAATATAGAACATAGTGCATAGAATCAGAAATATGTGAGTTCAAATCCATTCTCAGACACTAGCTGTGTGACCTTGGACAAGTCAATATCTCTTTGCATCAGTTTCCTCAACTGAAAAATGGGGATAATAATAGCACCTACCTTCCAGGGTTGTTGTGAAGATCAAATGAAATACTTGTAAGGCACCTGGTGCATAGTAGGTTGCTATATGAATGCTTATTATTATTATTATCATTATTGTATGTAAATTCCTCTATTTGGCCATTAAAACTCTTCACAATCTGATTCCAGCTTACCTTTTCAGGTTTTGATAATGTTATTCCCATCACACAACTAGTTTCAGTCAAACTGGCTTACTTGCTGTTATTCAAATTCAGCATTCCATCTCCCATCATACCTTTGTATATAGCCAGTATACATCTGGTATGTACTCCTTTACCTTTGCTTTAAATAATCTCTAACCTAGGCTATTTCCTAGGCTCAGTTCATGTCCCACCTCCCACATTTGGTCCAAAATTCTAACTTGTCCAGGTGGGGATCAAGCTTTCTAGATCATCCTAGTTCTAAGTACTACCTCCTTCCTCAAATTATCTTGTATTTACTTGTCTAAGTTTTCTTGCAAAGGATTTACATAAGCTCCTTAAAGGCCAGGGACTATTACATTTTTGTCTTTTTATTTCCTAGGCCTGCCACAATGCTTTGAACATAGTTGACAATAAATGCCTCCTAAATTGACTTTTTTGAATATATTTTGAATCTAACAGTTTTAAATTATAATGGTTTCATTCAAGGAAGCCAAAGCAATGCATAAGAGATTTCTATCATAAATATTTTCAGTTTTTGGTAAAGAGTGTCAATTATCTGTAAAACTCTCTAGCCTGGAACACCTCATTCCCTAATGGTGAGGGATAGGTGACCCTATAGACTATTAACACAATCTTCGTGATAAAGCCTTCTCAAGCCAGGCCCGTGACCTACTTAACAAGTCAAATCTCTTTTACGAAGAACTACAAAATAACACTTGAATTCTTTGGTTGGATTAGGATTTCTTTGCATCCAATATTGCTTGAAATAAATGAGTTGTAAACTGGAGATGGGGTGTAATTGTTTATTTATTTATTTATTTATTTTTGCAAATGTTTCGCGTATTCTTACTCGGGCTTCTATGTTGCAAGGAGATTAGCCAGGGAGATGGGGCTGTCCCTCCCCGTCCAAAACCCCATCGGTCCATCAGAACCGCAACCCTACACTCTCCAGGAGGGGAGCCGACGGAAAAAGAGGAGCAGCTTAAAAGAGAAGAGAGGCGGCGCGGATGCAGCAGCCACCGACAGCAGGTCGACCCCACGCTTGGGGTTGGGGGCGGCGCGCGGACCGAAGTGGGCGTGGCCATGCCCTCCCGTGACGACAAAGGGAGGGGCTCTCGAGTGACACCATGCAGCTCCCTTCAGGTGACGTCACGATGGTGACGCCACAGTAGGGGCTCTCACCTCCTCCCCCGCCCCGCTCCGGGCTCCCTTCCTTTTAGCTTTTCCTTCCCTCTCCCATCCGGGCTCCTCCCTCCCGCCCTCAAGGTTGCGCGCGCGCGCGCGCACACACACACTCACAGAATCATACACACTCGCTTCGCCCCCCCCCAGCCAGACCCTGCCCCCGCCCTCCTCTCTTTCCCCCTCCCCCTTCCCCCACCGTTACCCCTCCTCCTCCCCGCCCAGCCGCGGTCGCTCGGGCTCCAGCTCTTGGTTACAAGATGGCGGCGCTGAGCGGCGGCGGCGGCGGCGCGGAGCAGGGCCCCGCTCTCTTCAACGGGGACATGGATCCCGAGGCTGGCGCCAGCTCGGCGTCCTCCGCCGAGCCGGCCATCCCCGAGGAGGTGAGTGAAGACTGCGGGCCGGGCTGCTGGGCAGGCGAGCGCCGGCCTCCCCCCACCTCGACCGCAGATTGGGGGGGAAGGGGCGCTAATGAAGACGGCCCCTCATCTGCTCCCCCCCATGATGAGAGACCCCCCCCTACGCGCGCACGCGCACGCGCAGCCCTTCAACACGTAAACACCCGGAGGCCCCCCGGGGACAGGGCTCCCCTTGGCCCCGGCCCGGGCCGGGGGGATGTGGGGGACAGCAGAAGTTGGGGAGAAGGAATTGCGCCCAGATTTGGCCCTGGAAGGTCACGACCCGCCGCCGTCCCCAGACCCACGTCCCCCTTACTCGGCCCCCCCCGTGTTTTTCCCCCAGTGTGTGTTGGGGATGTTGCGAAGGAGAAGGGGGGGACACCCCCCGCCATCCCGTTCGCCCGAGTGGCCTGTGTCTGCTAGGGCATGTGTATGTGGGTGGGGGTGGTGAGGAGGAGGAGGAGGTTGGGGGCCTTCTACCGGGCGGCTCAGGCTGCCCTCCTCTCTCCCCCTGCCTCCCAGAGTGTTTGGAGATTGTTTCCCAGCCAACGAAGACTGGGTTTTCTGTTTCTCTCTTTTGCTGACCATCCTTGAAGCCCAAGGATCCTTCTGTCCTCCCATCTCAGACCAACCAACCCCACTCTTTATTTTTGTAAACACCATGTCACTGACATCCTTACTCCACTCTTCCCCTCCGTCCCCAGTGTTATGACCTGCCCCCCCTTCACCTCCCTCAGTTTTTCTTCGATGGCTACTCTGTTCTTTTCCTTTTGCCAAATTCCCACTGAGGCTTCATACTTCATTCCTTGGCTCTCTCACATTGTGTGCTACCTCCTTTATTTTCTCAAATTTCTTTGGACACCTTTGACTATTGTCTCTAAAGTTATTGAAATCCCACAAAGTTTCCACAGCACTAACCCTCTATTTCCCCGTGTTGGACCATTTCCCACAGTTGAATCCTGTGTATTATTTCACACCTATTTCCCCCCTCTCATTCTTAACATTTATTTCTTCCTCGTCGTATTTTTTTTTAATGTTTTCACTTCTGTCTTCTCTCTCCTTTACTTCTCTCCCTTGCCTTTTTAAATAAGAATTAGTATTCTTGTCCCATTCTCAAATTATATTTATTATTTTGTTATAATTTATTGTATGTTAAAAATAAGGTAATACCTGATATATAAGTTGTTTTACAGTGATTAAGTGGGTAGTAAGGTTAGGCTGTTGCTTTTGCTTGTCTTTCCTTACTTTAATAACTTCTTGTCTTTCCTTCCTCATAACTTCAAGTCTGTATTTAATGCTGTATTGCTTTACCTTGAAATTCATGCGATCTGCTTTCTTCATTATCTGATTTGATAACCTACCGTTCTGTTTTCACACTTTATTACCTTGAACCCAATTCTGTTGTTGGTCATCATATTACCACCTCTGTCCTATGACCTAGCCTAAATCTCTCCTGGCAAAATTACACCCATTTTCAGTTACCACTTCTACTGAGGTCCCCATTTCCTTTCAACTTAGTTTCCTGTGCTATTCCTGTTAATTTCTTCTAACTTCTTTACACCTATAAAACTTAACCATTCCTCATTTCCAGCTTATACTTTCATGTTTCATTTGTCCCAGGTTTCATTCATTCTGCTTAGTTTCCTGCTTTTGCTGCTTGATGAGGCTTCCTCTTATCTTCCTCACACCTCCACATGCCTTCTTATTTATAAACAGCTTTGTTCAGTTGACATGGAAATTTATTTTTAGGAGACATTGTTTTTAATGGTTTAATAGTAGGGGCAAGCTGTCTGTTTTTTCCCTAAGTTGGATGTGTCTCTGTCTGATGGCACAGGTGCTTCTAGGTATCCTTACTTCAAAGTTAGTAAGCTAGAAAGAAAGACTATACAAATAAATGAAGACTTATTATGCAACTGAGGAGCCCCAAAGGTTTGATTGCAACATTGTTACAATCAGCAACCTTTTTAATTTTACAATTATCCGATCAATTAACTTGTCAAGGTGTTACCTTAACAGACTATCTGATTTTAAGCCTAGTTTATATGATTCAATAATGAGTTCATTCTCAACCCCTGAAAAATTTACGTTATTTTTTTTTCTTTTTCTGTTGTAGAATCACTCTCATGGAGAAGTAGTTTTTCTGTGTTTTTGGACCTTGGGATTCAGTTGTTATCGATTGGAAATGATGTGGAATTTGTTCCCTTTGTTATAAATGTTCTGAATACTATAACTTTTGAATATACAGTAGTTGTCAGCATTGAAGAAGGTAATTTCCCCTCAAGTAAATTACTTTTCTGTCAAAATTAATATTAGTAAAAAATGAAAAACCAAAATGCACTAAAGTCCAGTTGAGAACTTGGCTATCCTATCATCCTTTTATGAATTATTATCAGAACAGATTCAGCAAAGAAAAATGTTCCATGTATGTAATGAAGAGTTTTATACAGAGAAGAAATAAGGGATGAACAAACCAAGTACTCTTATTTGTAAACATAATTTCACATTTTGAGTTTTGAACAAGAAAGTAATTCAGATTTGTGGAATATAACCAAAGCATATCTTTTTTAGAAGAACTACTGTACCAGTATGCTTTCTTAGCACAATTAGCAATTAGTTGGCTTTTGATATGAGACATTTACTTTTGAGCCTTCCTCCTGTTTAGTCCCAAAGTTAATTTCACCCCACCTGTCCTGGTATCAAGATAGCAGTCATATAATGTCAGTGTTATTTTTATTGTTCTCCTCAATCATCTCTAATCTTCAATAAGCATTTATTAAAATAGTACTTACTATGTGATAGAGGATAAGAAACCCAAAACAGAACAGTCCCTACCCCTACAGAGCTTATGTTCTGTTGGGGGGGAAATATGTACACAGTAAAGTATATACAAAAGATATACGAGTAAATACAAATTAATTTCAGAGAGGTAGAGCACTGACATCTGGAGAAAATCAGGAAAGGCCTCTTGTAGGAAGTGGCAGTTGAGCTGAGCCTTGACCACAAGGAGGGTTTCTGAGACGTGGGGAGGGAGAGAGGGGATGTTGTTTACAGCAACAGAAATAGGCCAGTTTGGCAAGATCATAGAGTCCTCAAGAAGGAGTGATGTCAAATCAGTTGGAAAAAAAAATTCCTTAGATCCAGCTTGTGATGGGCCTTAAATACTGCATAATTTTGTGTTTTATCCTCGATGATGTGGAGTCAAGTCAAATTTCTTGAACAGGGATCTGTGAGGTGGTCATTTTTAGGTGGTAGCTGTGTAAAAGATGAATTGGAGAGAGGAAAGATGGGAAAACCAATAAGGAGATTGTTGCAGTGGTCTAGGTGTGAGGTAATGAGGGTTTGACCTAGAGTGAGGATTGTGAGAAAGAAGAGTCCAGGACAATTCCAAGGTTGGAAACCTGGGCTACTGGAAGGATGAGAGAGTCTTCCATAGGAATATAGCAGAGGGATGAGTTTAGAGCAAAAAGAATGAGTTTTGCTGTGAGCATGTGGAGGTGGAGATGTCAAGAGAGCAGGTATACTTAGGCAATGTAATGACTTCAGTTAATGAATTCTTTGGATATGAGTTCCTTTTATAGGGGAAAAGGCTTCTATTAAGACAAGTAAACAAAAATCTTCATAAATAAAATGAAGCTTTTTTACTGTATGGCAGTGTTCCTTTTATACCTTGTATTTATACAGGAAAAAAATAACTTTTTGAATATCTATTTGCATAAAGCTTTTGAATTTTGTGCCCTGGGACTCCCAAATTCCATATTAATCAACTCACTGTTCTCTACCTCCTCTTCTTTATCACAATAGGAAAGCGACTGACATCAGACTTTTTACATTTGTTGTCAGTGTTTTCAGAATTCTTTTTTGTATCCATCCCCTCTCTTTGGTGGGAACTACTCCCTAAAGGTTCTCAGTGTTGTCTCTATAATTATTTTTTTTTATTTCAGTGATGATTCCATATCAAAACATCAACATCTGAAGAGAAATTGTGGAGAAAAAATGGGCATTGAAATAAGCATTCTGCTTGGTTGGCCCTCAAAGGCAGCCTACCTTTTTAGAGTCTCTTGGGAAGAGGGAGCTGCTCAGGAGGGATGTGATTCTCTCTCCCTTTCCTAAAACCAGAAGGTGCTAGCTAGATGCCTTTTCTTCTTTGACATCTATTACTGGAATTTCCTGGGTATGGGAGGAGCATAGCCTTTTCTCTGTCTTGAAATTTAACTTATTGCTCAAGTGTAAATTGGAACCTTTACCTCTTCCTCCCTTGTCCTAAGACTTTCAGATGTAAATTTTTGTCTTCTGGAACATTCGATGTTTTAGGTGACATTTAATCTTTTCATATTCTCTGGGTGTTATCCTAATTGGCTATGTAAACTTTAATGTTAAAATTGTGATAATAGTAGTTAAAAATGTAACGTTTTACATAAATTGTTTTTTCCTAGTCTCTGGTAGAGTGGCTGTTTTGTTTGTTACTATGTATTGCTGTTTGATTAGTGAACTTGTACTCCTTTTCTGACAGCCTACATGTGTTTAAAGGTCTTAATGTTATTTCACCTTTGATAAAAGTGATGACAATAAAGTGAGTTGTTTGACTTCCTTAATGGGATTATTATCATATAAGTGCCATCTATCTAAATGTAAATAGTCTTAAATGACTTATCCCAGCCTCTCTACCTATCTTACCCCGAATTAGTTCGTTTTGTTCAGGTAGAATCAATCTGTTAGAAGGTGTCCTCAGTTCAAGATAGATGAACCTGTTTGGGAGCCGTAAGAAATAAATCCCTTTGTACTAAGGTTAAAGTAGTTATTTGCATAGTAACAGTATTTTAGATAGCTTAATATTAGTATAGCAACTAAAAGTAGAGTCATTCTTATCTCCTTTAGACATTTGGTGGCTGGGTTAATTTTTCTGGGAGGTAGCTTTATTTCTAAGGGCTTTTTGTTTTGTTTTGTCCTGGTTTTTTTGCTACCAACCTAATTTACTATCATACTTAATTAGCTTGGTCGCCAAAAGAAGCTTGTAGTACAGTCTCCACCCTGAAATTAAGCAATTATTTTTCTCCCCTCTACCCTCTGAGATTATTTTTGGTCACCACCTTCTATCCTAAGATTTATTATTATTATTGTTATTATTATTATTATTATTATTATTATTACTATTATCCTCCCTCCCCCACACCAAGATTATGCCTACAGAGTGAAATTGATGCGTAGTCGGTTTCACATTCCATCTTGGTAGGCCCTGGGGATGCCCTCTGTATATAATGTGTAAACTGCTTTGAACCTAATTAGCTTTATATATTCTGGAAGCCCTACAAAAGTAGAGATGAAACTGACCAAGCTTGCATCAGTTTCATTCTTGTGATGCTGCTGTTGAATACCCACAGCACTTTGAGGGAAGATATTGCTAAAGAAAAAGCTGTTGGTCCAGCTAGCATAAGCCTCCCTAGTATAATAATCCATTAGAGATATTTTAATTATTTGTGTTTCGGAGGGAAAGGAAGGAGTATGGGAACATGCATATATCTCACAAATAACTGAAATCGCTATGTATGATTGATAATCTTTATTTCTTTGATTTCTCAGAAGTATAAAACTATTTGAAATTTTTTTTTTAATATTCCATAAGTTGTCTTATTTTTTTAGAATGTCATTCTACTCCATTCCAACTTTTTATGTCATTCCATAAGTTGTCTTTTTAAAATAGTTTAATGGTTTAACTTACCCTTTTTTCTTTTTTTTTATGGTGAGGCAGTTGGGGTTAAGTGACTTGCCCCAAGTCACACAGCTCGTGTTATGTGTCTTGAGGCCAGATTTGAACTCAGGTCCTCCTGACCCCAGGGCTGGTACACTGTGCCATCTAGTTGCCCCCATAACTTACCCATTTTAAAGGAAATATTTTAATGGGGTTTTTAAAAATCAGTTTTTGAATAGTTAACTTTAAAATTAGGGTAGCAGTTATTATTTTGAGCTCGAGAATTTATACAATGTACTTTCTTTTTTATAACATCCCCTATGTATTTCCACTAGAAATACTTTAATGCTATTAAAACCTATATTCTATTTTCTTTATTACCAGATATTGAATCTTATTACTTGAATTCTGTGCTTTAAAATCTGCATTTTGAAGCCAGTAGCAAAACCTGTTATGTCCAGCTTGAAAAAATAAATACAGTGATTAAAGTGACTTGGATAAGTGGGTATAGTAAGAGTTTTTTGAGAGCTCTTGTTAGTATAATTTCTGTTAATCTGTAGTATAAAGGTAATTTTATAGCCACTCATTATGAAAGTATCCTGTAATTTTTTTTGCCATTATTCGATAGTTACTGTTTGTAAATGTATTGACAGTTAAAGGATAAGATTTTTAAGTTCAGTTTGCCAGTGATTCCTAAAAATACCTTTCAGTTGAATTCAATAAATATTTATTAAGCACCTGTGTACTCTGTGCCAAGCACTGTGTTAATTGTTGGGGGTACAAAAAAGAAAAAGAAATGGTCCCTGCCCTCAAGGAGCCTAATGGGGGGCACACAGTACATAAAAAGGGGGTGGGGGGGGGGGGGGAAGGGGGTGGGGGGGGGGGGGGGGGAAGTGTTATTCTGTGGAGTGAAAGCCAAGCAGAGCTGCTGATGGAGAAAGGAGTAACTAGAAAAGATTTGAGCCTTCTGTAAAGGAAGGCTCTGGGAGGAGTTTTGTACATCATCCAACCCTCCAAAGGGAGATGCAAATGAGAAGAGTGTAGAGTATTCAAACCTAGATCATTGTTCATGATCATAAGATTTCAGGAGATCAACTTATCCTGGACTGGGATAAGCTTGCTTTGATTTCCACACTGCTATATAACTTAAATTTTGACAACTTAAGCTTTGTTCAGAAAGGGAGCCAGTCAATAAGCATTTGTTAAGCACCTACTATGTGCCAGGTACAGTGCTAAGCACTGTGTAAAAGACAGCAAGGTAAAGATAGTCTCTAAGCAAGGTAATAGATAGTCTCTGCTTTCAAGTAGCTCACAGTCTAATGGGGGAGACAATACACAAACGGCGTACAAACAAGCTATATGTAGGATAAGTTGTAAATAATCAAGAGAGGGAAGGCACTGGCATTAAGGGGAATCAGGAAAGGCTTCTTGGAGAAGATAGGATATTAGCTGAAACTTGATAGAAGCAAAGAAAGGAGGCAGAAATGAGGAGGGAGAGTTCCAGGCATAGGGAACAGCCACTGAAAATAACCAGAGTCTGGAGATGGAGTGTCCTATGGGAGGAACAGCAAGGAGGCCTG